CAAGTCACTCTGAATAGTTTTACAACCTTTCATTCAAATGTAAAGGCTTTGTTCCAATTGCCAAGACCATTTAGTCAGAATAAAAAGAGAAAATGCAATAGAGAGTGCTTACTGAAACCCTGGCTACAGCACAAGCAAAGTCATAGTCTGATCTTCGTATTTGCCAAAATGGCTACTCAGTCTCCAGTACATTGTGCTTTTAATTCAAGAATATAATAATAATTTTTTAAAATATCTTTATTTAAAATCTCATTTTAAGAAAACCCCTCAAGTCCTGCTATGAAAACTGGTAATTATCTTTATTAAAATTATCTCATTTCAAACATATTTTTAAGCAAATTAAAATATGATAACTTCTATTATTATTCACTTTGGCAAAACGCTGAACCACAAAGAGCTCCACTGGTCAGAAACACTCTGGTGCAAAAAGTGAAAAAGAAAAAAAGTTCATCAAATTGGAAAAAAAAAACCACAAAACTGAACTTTCATAAATTTTAAAAAGCTATTTTAATTCTGTCATCGTCAGAAATTTTCATGGGAACACCGTTTGCTATATTTCACCCAACAGGAAACGTTATGCATAAACCAAAATTTAAAAAAAAAGACCAATATATTTTCTGTAATTATTATTAAGAAATAAAAACAACTCCTTGACACATAAACACACAAAACCAAATACTAGTTTTTAGTAGAACTATGGCCAGCCCTTCAACTGAAGTCGCTGCATCTACAGATCCACAGGTGTGACCCTATGGACTCATGGGAAGATGTATTTCTATCGGAAGAAATAAAGCACAGTTAAGAAGTCAGATAATCTCTCCAGCCTTTCAGGAAATGCAGTGATATATCACCATGTACGTTAGAACTCTACTAAGCATAATGTAAAATTGGTACGCTGCTAAGCATATTACATAAAGAATAATGTGGTTGTCAGACCATCTGTACACAGTACCTCAGCTCAGAGCAAAGCAGACTCTAAAGCCTGGTTATATTCAGCAATCCCAGTCATATACCATGGAACAATTTGGGGACCTAGAGCTGCTACGCCATTCAAAGAGCAAGTGCTATACTCGAGAAACACAGAACATGTGGCAACAACACTGAGCTGCCTAAGTAGCTGCAGAAGTAATGTAACCTTATTTTCAAGGGTGGGTGATGGAAATCCAAAGGATAGACGTCTTTAACCAAAACAGAAGTAAAGGTGGTGTTTCTGACAGCAAAAATGTCAGTTATTTCTAAGACCATATTCCCGATGATGCTTGTAAAATGTGCTAGATACCACATGTACCAGTAATACCGTGTATGATGTGGAGAAACACTGACTTTTTTACTCTTTTAGTCCACTTTTACAAATGCAAATCGCATGGATAACAGAGCAAATAAAGGGGAACCTGCATTCAGGTTCAAAGGATGTGTCCCATTAACAGAAAGCAGGCCACAAAATCTCGCGCAAACGTCAGTAATACGGAGCCTATAGATGACACATCATTAATTTCTTAGGGGAAAAAAAAAAACCAAACCAAACACAGAAGGCACGAGTTTTAGAATGGAAGAAAAACTGAACATTTTAGATTTATGATTTACGTTGTTGTCGATAAAATAGCTTTCCAATTATAGAGGCCCTGGTAGGAGAAACTGGAATGCATTATGTGTTAATGATCACAACCAGGGGTCCAAGCTTACTCTTTTGTCAGAGTTACAGCAGATCCTCCCCGCAGCTTCACCATTAACATGTCTGTTTCCTGTCAGACCACTCAGAGATAATGTCATTTATCTCAGGGCGGCACAAGACTAGTCATTAGCTTCAGTAAAAGACCTCAAACAAAGGCCGGATAGCGTTTTATCCGGGGGCTCGTAGGCTGCAGCCAAGAATCTCATGCTTAACAGTTCAGAACTTAAGTAATCTTTAAAAGAGTAGATTTCCCCCATCAACAATTCTGTAACACTTCTCTGAAGAGCAGAAAAGTCTCTGCATGGAAAATTTTAGTCAGTGATTTTGTCATACACAATTAGGTGACTGTTAAGAGCTTGCTAAAGTTATCCTTTGAGAGTCCTCCC